ATATTGCTCCACTTCTGACTGGCCTATTTGAGAAAAAAAAAGCAAAATGAGCCATACACATGTACTAATCAAGCTCCATACACCAACCATTTAAAAAAATATATATATTTTGTTTTATCTGAAGGGTAATAACCCAGATTTCAGCTACCTCTCATGCTGAGAACATCACGTACAATGAATGCTACTCCTTCCTGCTGGGGAGTTTTTCTTTCCTGTGGAATTAGCTGGTCCCCTGAATGCTTGCGCTGATGTCTGGTTCTATGGTAGCTTCTTAACCTAGTAGGTTCCCACCGGAGTCACCCTTCCTGAGATTGGCATACAGGGCGCCACGCTTATGCTGCTTGGACCATGAGCCATGGGCAGCCCAAGTTAAGAAAAAAAACACAATGACCCCGCCTCTGGCCCCTCCTCCACTTGAAGAGATTGACAGCGTGGGAGGTCCCACACTGCCCAAACTTTATGAATGGCCGTGCACACATGTGTGCTAGTGCAAGACACGATGGGACATGTAGTCTCACGGAATGTATAACAGTGAATGGAGATTATTATATTATAAGTGCGTTTTTCCCAATCAGAAGTGGGCACAGAGCTAGCTGGAGGCCAGCACTTCAGAAACAGCCTATTAGTGTCTCTGGACTTTTTCAAAGAAAACATTTTCCCTGGAATTTATATGATGTCCACAAGACTTTTTAGAATTCTTTTGTGCGTCTGCAGAATAAATGTTGCTGCTTGCCCCAGATTGATGTACCTATTGGTGGTACATGAATTTGAAGCAGTGTGGTAAAAATTCCATAAGGCACTTCAAGACTCTGACAGGCACAGGCATGACATTCAGATGCATGAATTTGTATTTACGGGATGACGTTTGGCTAGCTCTGGGCTATGGAATGCTGCTATTCAGCTGGCAGTGTCTTAGCAACCAGTGACTCACCCCCGGCCACATTCAACTGCCAGCTGGGAGATTGCCCGGGCGACATATGAGAGAAATACCCCGGCCGACAGCTAAATGTAAACAAAGGGGGCACTGGATGCTGGCTGACATCATTCATGATCACTAATGATGTCATCTCCCCGCCCCTTTGTTTACATTCAGCTGACTGGGGCAGGGATGTATAATAGCTAGGACACTGGCGGCCCTGTGTCCTAGTAACCTATGAACCATGAACGGGAAGCTTTCACATTTATGGCACATACATGCCTCACTGTGAGCAGGCAGCTCTGGAGGTATAGTGAAAACTAAAATTCCCAGCGCCAATGAAAGTGAATGTGAATACACCTCAATACAGTCAACTATTTGTTACCCAGCAGATTTTTTTTTAAAGTTTTTTTCCTGGAGTCCATCTTTAAGGCCTCATTCACATGGGGCGAACATGTCCGTGCGGGCCCATGAACGGCCCGATCCTGAGAGGGACAGGTGCTGCGTGTTATTGCGCACAGCAGCCTGTTCTTCCCTATAGGAGGACAGGGCTGTACGATGTTACACGCACACGCGAACTGCACATTTGTCAAATGCACACAAACGCATAGGAAATTGCATTTACACATGTTCCTGCATCGCATAGTGTAAATGGGGACTAAGAGTGGGGAAGCGTTAGAACATCTGTCAGGTTTTTATCTCTCTCCTGTCTCAGCCACATTCTCTCATTCTTGTCCTGGTGTCACTGAGACAGGAAGTGAGTAGGAACCTCTCCAATGAGTTCTGAATCATACCCATTCCATCCAAACTTGATAAAGTAAAACATTTTTAGAAATGTCCCTGCACAGAAAATAATGAATGTTGTTCCCTTGCTGCGCCCTTTGGTTTCTTTAGCCTATATCACTACAGTGGAAGGAGAGTCACCAGGCGTTATAATCATGAAGAAGACGGTGCGCTGGTGACTCTCCTTTCTGTGCTGTTTCTGGCGGCGCCACCTACCAGTCATTTCAGCACCCGCTAAGGAACAAAAGGGGAGACACCGCTTAGATGTACAATGGGCTACCTACACTAGATTGCTACATTTGCACAGAAAATACGAAAACCCATGTCCGCGGTCAGTTATTTACACATACACTTATAAACGCATGCACGTGTACATTTGAGTTAGACGAATGGAAGAAGAATTTTGCGGATCTGTAAGTTAAAGAGGAACCCACCAATCTAATGTCTCCCAAAAGTCCCAAAACAGTTAAGACATGCCAACCGTCAAGGTTGCCAGTGAACTTCTTTCACGTCCCAACCGAAACTTTCAAGCCTTCAAATGGCTGATATCATAGCTGATCGCATGTGCAGCACCATGGCAATTGCAATCCAAATAGAGGCTAAGATGGCGCCTTCCTTGGAAGACTAGGAGGGTGTGGTTCCGCTTTAAGGCCACATGCAGGCCACCATAAGAAATGTACTGATCGTGTATGAATGTTTTTACTGGCCAAAAAGTTTCATTGTAAATGAGCAGTAACATGCTTGTATTTTGATGTGTTTAAAAACATAAACAAGTCTGTGTATTTTATATGTAATTTCCTTGTTTGGACTTTTACATTTACGCACAGACACGCATCAAATGTATGTTTTCAGATGCACATTTTAGGATGTTGTGTTATGGATCTGAATAAAACGCATGTATGTCCCCATTAAAAACAAGACACATGCATTCCGATCGGTAAACAAAAGACGCTGTGGATTGTTCTTTTTTACGGCCGTGTGGCCTAATGCCGGATCTTTCTGCCACCAAGATCACAAGTAGATATCAGTATTTGATATTCTTGTGATGAGCTCTAAGAAGTTTGCACACGACCCGGATTGAATACTTTTTTTTTTAAATGATGTGTGTCTCCCTCCAAGAAGCATGATCTATCCCATGTCCAGTCCACTGTACTAGAGCAGTACAACAGCGAGGAGACCCAGACTACCCATAGAAGCACATGGGTGATGAGTGCTGTGCAGGACGGAGCAGATTATTCCTTCCTTCCTCTCTGTGACATATGAACTTTACATACTCTGCCCATCGGCGTGTTAACCTGTCCAGTGCTGTGCCGAGGACACATTCACCATATACCAGGCACACAGCATACACCAGACAGATGCTCACCATACACCACTCTCCATACACAAGGCACCCAGGATACACCAGGCGGACACTCACCATACACGAGACGGGCACTCACCATACACCAAGCTGGCACTCACCATACATCAGGCGGGCACTCACCATACACCAGGCTGGTACTCACCATACACCAGGCTGGTACTCACCATACACAAGGCGTGCACTCACCATACACTAGGCTGGTACTCACCATACACCAGGCGTGCACTCACCATACACCAGGCTGGTACTCACCATACACTAGGCTGGTACTCACCATACACTAGGCTGGTACTCACCATACACTAGGCTGGTACTCACCATACACTAGGCTGGGACTCACCATACACCAGGGGCGACCTCACTAGGCTGGTACTCACCATACACCAGGCGTGCACTCACCATACACTAGGCTGGTACTCATCATACATCAGGCAGGCACTTACCATACACCATGGCTCCTCCAGTCTCGTGCAGAAACCTGAATCGTCGGTTCTTGAACAGCCAGATGGTGAGGATGGTGAGGATGAGCAGAAAGTTGAAGACCAGCAGCTCCAGCGCTCCCTGATGCTGGAAGAGCTGCAGCACCCGGGAAGACTTCGATGTCTTATCTCCCTCCATCCCGGCCGGCGGTGCACTCACTGCGTGCAAACCTCTGGGCTCACTTTCATAGCCCGGAACACTGACACTAAGAAGTATCACTGATAGCCAGGAGTGACATAGCGGGTCCGAGGAGGGGCCACCCGCCGCTTGCACAATGTCTGGGAAGCGGCCGCGCTGCATGCTGGGAATTGTAGTTCTAAGCCGAATGTCACTGTGCGCTGCTCTATGAGCTCCGGCAGCTGTCGGGACTACAAAGCCCACACCAGCTGCTGCTACCAATCCATCAGATGCCGGGCAGTGAGTGAGTGCCAAGGTGATGGTTACCTGGCAGAGCTGTCCTTGGGACTAGTGGCTATAAATAAACCCAACACCTGAACATCAGCTGTCATTACCGCGTCACCTGGAGCTTACATAATAGTGTGTAATACAAAACAAAGTACATAGAGTCCCAATCACTAAAACCTTCAACGTGTAAATGTTATGGGAAAAGTCAGTTTCAATATTTTTTAAAGAATAGTCTAATTTTGTCACCATGTTTCTTATTAAAGCCTATTTGTGGGGAGTAGCCCAGGCTGCAAGGGTTAACTGTTCATTTTTGTCTAGGGGTATTGTGTAAGGGACTTTTATTTACCTGATCCCAAGATTGGCACCCTCAGCCTCTTTCCCCTATGCTCCCTCTTCCCCCTACGCTCCCTCAGAGGCCCGCTGATGCCATCGCATCTAATGCAGGACCCATAGTCCTCCATTGTGCATGAGGACGCCGAGGGACAGTCCACAAGCCGGAGAGGAGAGAGGTGAGCGCCAACGACCGGGGGGGAGCATGGATCAGGTACGTAAAAGTCCACCATACCCCCAGACATAAACAAGCAGTTAAATCTTGCATTACAAGGGGTACCACCAATGGGAGTGAGCCCCCCGACCCCCACCCCCGCAGATAGGCTTTAAAATCCAACTAAAGCCAACACACTTTTTGGTATTGGATAGAGTGGAGAGGGAAAATTTCTGATCCCATCCGAATTTCGTTTGAAAACAAAAGTGAATCGGACATGTGACTTTTCTGGACAATCAGATGTGTTTTTCGGTTTAATGCATCCAAATGGGTCTGAGCACAAATTTTGTACAGCGACATCGGAGCCATATACAGTATATACATATGTTACTAAAGCTGAGGCTCCTAGACCCGAACGGCTTTTGGGATCCGAATTTCCAAATTGCATTTGGGAGCTCCCGAATGCCATTCGGGTCTGGGAGTCTCAGCTTTAGTAATACATGTACATGGCTCCCAGACCCGAAATGCTATTCGGAAACTCGGATCCCGAATGGCGTTCGGGTCTAGGAGATTCAACTTAATATTAAGGTGACATTAAATTTTACATTTTTTTCCCTCCCCCCAATGTTAGCGTCACACTCACCTTAAATGATGTATCTTAATCCGCTCTTCTTCTTTCCTGTTGTTTCAGCCTTCTCTCCAGCGCTGCTACGGGTCTCCGATCCAGCGCTGACTCCTCTGTGCTTGCTGGCACTTCCTGTCCCACGGTGTCTGCATGCGGGTGCACGCATCCATAGACTTACCTTGTCTCTCCTCGTCTCCCGGCCGAAAATATGAACTGTGCATGCGCCCGCCCCAAGATCCTTTGCGGCCGCCCGAGAATTTTTCAGATTTTCAGACGGGAAAATCGATTATGATGCTTTGCGGTGCTTTAGCAAACAAATGTCCTACAGTTGAGGTTTGCATGTACATGTTTTCAAGATCTTTTTGCATGCCTTTTCCATGCACAAACGCATGTTTTTTAATAATTTTTATTGTGTTTTTCAAGCTTCAGGCGTTTTTGTTTTGGCCAGTAGAAAGTAGTGTCATTTGTGACATCATGTCATCGTTGTCCTTGTATCTGCTTCCTGGTTTTTTTGGGTGGTGCTGTGGTATCTTAGCTCTTGAGCCATCTCATTCTCCACTATGCCATGTTTCTTGGCAACAGGAATGGAAATCAAATATAGAATACAGAAATTAAATAAATACAAATAATAACAATTACATAAATATAATAGAATAGAAATAGTTCCCTATGAGGAGGAGACCAGCTATTCAGCACCAAAAACACACTAAAATGCTTGTGTTCACACATGAAATAGAATAAATGTCAGG